CTAACACTGTCAATAATTATATTTAAAATATTTAAAAATATATTGTACAAAGTTATGTACCTAATGTAAAAAGTTGAATGATCATTTTTATTTGAATAAAAGATGTGTGAAATGACAAAAAAAAAACAATCGAAACTGATAATGCAAAGTGAATGTTCATCTTCTCAAAATTTAAGTTGTTTTGTGTATAGTATCTATAATTGTATGAATTATTTTAAATTGTATTATTTCAATTATTATGAATTATTGTACATCAGAACTTGTAATATTATGTACCTATCTACAATAGTCGATAATACCTACACACTGCAGTGTAAAAATATTAAAATTAAATCTTCTTCATCGTCAATGAATAGCATACCTTATTTTAATATTATCATGGAAATTATATTGTAGATAGAATCAATCATGACATTAAGCCCCCCTTTCTCACTCCCAGTACCGACAGTTAGTTTTAAATTGTTTAGATCTTAACATTAAAAAAAAAAAATTAAAGATTTTGTRTAATATAATAATAAGTTATATCATATATCTATTTAATATTGTATAGTTTTTTTTCAGTACCTACCATATATACAATCTTATTTACAATGCTCACTCCTACAATAAAAGATAATCTATCTAAATTTTCTTGCCGTTAAAAATTCTCAAACACTCTTCTGATATAAGTTTTAAAATTATAGAATATAGATAGATATATAGGGAAGTGGGACTCATATACCTATTTTTAAATACTGTATTGCAATACAAATAATACAATACTACAACAACATAATATAGTAAAAATGATTAATCAATATTTCCAAAGATTCTACAACCAAGTTTTTTTTTCGATTTTTTAATTTTAACTCCTACATTTTCAAAGATATTTTTGTTATACAGCGTAACTGTGTTTGTGAATCATATGGTTTTTTTCGTTACGTCATTGAAATCAATGCGTGCAAACAGAATTCTATATAATAAATTTTATGTTGTGGTTAACTGCATAAGTGGTTAGTAGGTATACACGTCGTCGATGACGCATTTGTGTTTACGCGCGTCAGACGATTGCCGGTACATATATTATTAACATGATCATGGTAAACCGATTAAAACCCATGAACTTGAACATGCATCAAAATTTCTCAGATATTGTAATATTTCAATGTTTTTTATTCTCGATGTGTAGTCTATTCATTATCAAGACTCTGAATTAAATTAAAGTGGTAAACTTTTTCAAGAATAACTTATTATGCCTAGTTTTAAATGGCAACTAACTATTTCATTCGTTATTGTTGAATATTTGATTTTCGATTTTTGTCATACTGCAGTTTCCATTTTTAATTTTTTGGTTCACCAAAAATCTCAACATTAGAAATAATTTATATTCAAAAAATAAATTGGTTTTAGACATTTGGGGAATAAATACAACTAATACAAGTATAAACATCAATGTAATTACTGTAAAATTTCACTCCAGACACTTAACCTATACGTTTTTTGTAGTGTAGTACTTATGATATCCCATTCCCAGTTATTTTGTTGTAGTGGAAATTTATCCCTAACCCCAATATCCCCTGTGAATTCAGTATCTCAACACATCCATATTTGTTTAAAGTTTAAACTATACARATAGTTTATAATTTAAACGGTGCATTTTATTAATAAATATTAAAATTTAACCAAGTATTTGATATAGTGAGGAAGTCTGTTAGATGTTAAGGTCATTCGATAACGTTAATTTATTGTTTAGTTTGTATTGTATGTATCGTTTCCGCCGTTCTTCGGAAATCAAGGACAAGACACTCGCGGCCTGGAAAATTACATTTTACAATAATTCTAAAATAATTATACACACTTTTATACGTACTTTTTTATGATATTTATAATAATACCTATGTATAATTATTGAATACACGATTGTCTTTGTTAAATAGTATATAATTATATATAATATATGTATAAAATCAGTAAATTATTATAATCGGGGGTGCGCTCAAGAATTTCTAGTGGAGGGAGGGTCAGTGTAGTTTCATTAGTCCGAAAGTAAGGTTTAATCTTGTCAGGTTTTTGCCTCAAAYGCCTGCYAATATTTTCTATAAACCAATTACAATTGTTAGATGCTAGTATAGTGTACATACTGTCAATGTATGAGGGGAGTTTAAAGGTATAGTTACACTGATTCTTTAAACATTTTAAGCGTTTTTAAAAATATTTTGTTTGGACATTTTCCATACTTACTGTAGTTTTATTTTGTAAATTTCGATCCGACATGGTAGTGCAATAATTTATACAATACCAACAGTAAACAACAGAAGAATATTGGTTATTAATAATACCATGGTCGATGATATAATAGTATTATCCATAAACTTTGAGTTATATCATCAATATTAATAGTATAGTACTATCAATAGTAACTGTAACCCGCACAGAAATTGTGCACAAAAATGTAAACAAAATAAATGAAAATAAAATGTATGTTAAATATTTTTGAGTAATATCATGGTACTGTAAAATTTCCTATCATACTACTTTCAATATTTTAAATCAAAGTTTTAACTGCCTGCGCAGACATCATAAAATAATTGTGAGATTATTAAATCTAATAATTGTGAATAATATGATTGATTTTGATAATCGAAATATATATAATAATAGTTACAGACATAAATACATAATATTATGTTTTAAAATCAAATTAATTGAATCACTTATAGATTATACAATATAATATCTAAAAAATCGCGGCTATGCGACTATAAAATGCAAATATGTTATAGAATTTATAACTATATATTAAAATATGGTTGTTGTCAATAGTTTTGACTGTAGTTTCATTGAAAAAACAMACATCATGGTAAAATCAATACATTCATCGCTCCGCTCAGAATCTAAAATTGCACACAAGTAGATTATCATTCTGCTATTTATATACTTGAATAGTTCAATGAAATATGTAAATCGTAATTCATCTTCACCGATTACCGTCAT